AGCGGGCGCGGACACGGGCGCGGGGGCGCCCATGGAGCACACGCACGCCCACTTCGCCAACAGCTCGCTGTCCTGGTCCCCCAGCGCGGCCTGCGGCTTGGGCTTCGTGCCCGTGGTCTACTACAGCCTCCTGCTGTGCCTCGGCCTGCCAGGTGAGGGGCGGGGAGAGGGGAAGCCGGCGGCCCTGCGTGCGGGCGCCCTGCCCGGGACCCCCAGGCTGTCCGCCTCTCCGCGCGATCCTTGGGGCCCCCTCTGCAAAAGTTTCATCCTAAAGGGCAACTGCGGACATTTCCAGACTGGGGGGGAAAGGAAGTTGTTGTGGCCTGGCCGGACTCCGGAGTGTGTGCGTTTCACGCGTGTGCGCGGCAGGCGGTGGGCAGGTGTGGCCGTGAGTGGGAGGGTGCTGGAGAGTATTTGCGTGCGTCTGAAGGAATCGTCCTCTGCGAGGGGCTCAGCAAGGCTGTGTGACTTGACTGCACATCCGGACAGATGGCTTCGTGGGGGCTTCACTTCTCCTGGGGTCCTCACCTTCACCCCAGCCCGGGGGCACCTCTGCCCAGCCAGTGTCCCTGCCCAGCCTGGGACCAAGCCGGAGATCCTGATGCTGGGCAGTCTCCTGCTGGGAAAGGGGAGGTGCTGGGACGGAGGAAGGACTGAGCCCCTGCTGCTCCCCTAAGCAGGACCGTTCTCCGCGGAGAGCCAGGGCTGGCTCTGGGACCATGCCCCGGCCAGGGCAAGGGTGCAGAGACACACACAGGGGGGCTGCCCAGGCCGCCACCTCAGGGGGTCACAGTCTCCTTGAGGACAAGCCTCGCCCCTGGCTTTGCCATCTGGCCCGCCTACCCTAGGCAGCTCCCTGCTGCTGCAGATGCCCCACATCTTAACATCCTCTCCAAAGTGTGGCTGGGATTTTTGCTGAATTCCTGAAGCGATCTGAGCTAGGGGTGGGAGTGGGGGTAGGAGTTGCTTGTCTGTTAGAGCCGGAGAGGGGTTTCCTGGGACTCTGGCTTGAGATGGCCCCTTCTTCCACATAGCACCTGAGACCATCTGTGTGGCAGAAAGATTCCCAATGAGCACTTGCAGGTAGATGGGAGAGAGGAACAGAAGGGAACAGAAAGAAAAATCCAGTGTGCAGACTGGAATCGTGGCATCATTACCCAGCATCTTCAGCATCCTGAGGTCCTGGGAACTTGGGAGCTGTATTCCTGAGAGCCTGTCTGAGATTTCCATTCCAAAACATTCACCTCCGCCGCCAAGGCCCCTAATGAGGTAGTGTAAATAAATCCCCCTACCAAATTAGGCAGGTACCAGAAGCCATAAGTTTACAAACGCTGCGCTCCCACATGGCCCCTCTCCCGCATCGCCCCCTCCCCGCCCCCAGCGGGTGATGAGGCTTTTATTGCTAACTAATCGCTCTGCTCTGGCTGCCAGGGGAAAGAGGCTCAGCCTGGGACTCGCCTGCTGGGGAGCCGCACATGTCCTTGTCCTGTAATTACCTTGAGCTGGAATTGATTTAGTCCAGTTTGCACCTCCCAGTCTGCCCTCCTGACCCTCTCCCAGAGCTCTCTTTGGGGAGTGAGTTTTTCAGAAGGTTGCTGAACTGGAGAAGTGACAGGTTCCCTCTCCCCTGCAGCCCTCACATCAGAATGTATCTACCCCATCCCTTCACCCCTCCGTCTCCTCTGCTGACGGAAGTAGCCACTCTCAGGCTTTTCTTCTGAAAAGCCATTAAGGGACAGAGACATAAGGACAGGGAGAGGCTGACTCAAAGCAGGGAAAAGAGCATGGGGAGAACAGAACAAGGGAAAGCTCAGCCCTTCAAACACCTCACACCTTCGGAGCCTAAATCCCATCACAGCTGGGGCCTTCCCAACCCGCAGCATTGGCACCTATTCATGCCAGGCATGGTACTAGGCATGGGCTCAACAAGGCTGAGCCCAGGGCTTGGAGACTTTAAAAGTGGGGGGCCTTGGTTTGAGATTAGAAAGTGAAGGGCAGTTATGTGTTTGTACACCAAACTAAGCATTATGACCACCTACTGTGTGCCAAAGGGACTCAGAGAGCCCTGGGCAGTTCCTGAGTTCAAGGAGCTCACAAGTGTAAGCTTACAATTCTAGAGGCAGCAATGGATGCAGGACTCAGCAGTTTGGAAAATGCTTGGAGAGGCCACTCGCATGAAGGTCATGGGCTGATGAGGACTGGTTTTGTTCATGTTTGCAAGGTGGTTCAAAGGTGAAATCCTTAAGTTACTCTCTCAAAACCATAAAGGCAGGCAAGTCTGCCAGATGACTAAGAATGCAGAGTGTAGAGTGAAGCAGAGCTGGGTGTTAATTTGTGGGCCTTTGGTATCTCTGTGCCTCTATTTCCACATCCCTAAAGCAGGCTTTATGAGAGTAGCTACCCCCTCCCCCCAACTGTAGTGGGAAGTAATCATGTTGATTGGGGTGATGGCGCGAGTTAAGCGCTGGGCTCAGTGCGACTCCCGCGTTGCTTGATGCTGTGCTGTTGCAGTTCTGGTGACCAAGAGGCTGATTTGGTTGTAAGGAGGAGGGAGCTGCTCAGGCTGCCAGTGAGCCGGGGAAGGGACTGGGAGGCATGCAGAGAAAAGCCCTTAGCTCAGCATCTACTCCTTGTGCTGAGCTCACTATAGCTTTCCCCTCCCTTCCCAACCCCCAGCCCCCAGCAATTAGCAAACTCATTACCCGCCACTGACTGGGAGGCCCAGCTATAGTGGCTGTGAAGTAGCAGACCGCAGAGCTTGGTAATATTGTTGAAAACTGAGATTTTAATTGAATCACTTTTCCTGGCAGTGGACTCACCCCAATTCTAAATTCTCACCATGGTGGTCTGAGATGTGGATGGGAGCTGAGGGAGGGATGGATGGGGAGTGGCTGGGTAGCAGTGGGGAAGCCAGTAACTAGAAGAAAGTGCCAATTTTCCTTACCACCTTCAGTCTCTTAAGAGGCAGAGCTTGAGGCAGGTCATGTGGTCCAATCCCCTGCCGCTAGGAATTGCCCCAGACAGGTGAATTTAACTGGTCTGATGTGGGATGCAGGAGGCACTGATATTGAAGTATGGACAGAGCTCTGCCATTTAAGAATTCCAACTACTTTGTACCACAGTTTCCTCCCCATGTAAAATCAAGGAACAGTAGTGCCTACTACCCACACAGGTAGTTTATATTAAATAAGGTTATCTGTGTAATCTGTTGCATTACGGTGGCCTCATTACTGCCGGGAAGTTCTTTGAACTAACCTCAGTTCCTAATGCTGTGTGCTCAGTGGTGAAAATTGCTGGCTCAGCTATTCCTTAAACTCCACTACTTTCCTCCTCCTGTAAGTAAGCGAGATGCTTCTAACTGTTTGAAACATGTACAGTAAGCCAGCCGAGCCAACAAGGTGGAGCTGGGGACACTGATGGAGCCAGCTGGCATAAGACTGTACAAAGCAGGAGACAGTGCTGGAGAGAAGGCTGAGCCTCAATGCCTGGGGAAGAGTGCGGAGGGGTCGTTGAGTCCACTGGTAAGAAAGGAGCAGAACAAAATTAAACTGATTCAAAGGGTAGTCCTTGAATTTTACCTTCCAAACGACACCACAGATGTTAAGGGAGACAGGTGAGGAAGATGATAGCCTGAAACCATACGCCACCAAGCAGATGGGAGGGTTTCCAAAACTGCCAAGTAAGGGTGATAATGCCTGCCTCTGAGGGTGGGTGCAAGATGAAAGGAGGTGACTAGCCTGTAGTCTGACAGGTAGTTAGTGCTTTGACACATGGTAGTCACGGTTGTTTGCTCCCTGGTCAGGGTGTAAACGGGAGGCAGTCAGTCGATGTTTCTCTCTCACATCAGTCTCTCTCTCTCTCAAATCATTTTTTTATAAAAATGTATCCTTGGATGAAGATTAAAAATATACATTTCCTAGGAAAATTTGGCAACTTGTTTTATGACACCAGCTTACCCTAGTATCAAATCCAGACAAAGATATTAAAAAAACTACAGAACAATATTCCTCATGAGCACAGACAAAAATCCTCAAAAATATATTAGCAAATTTAATCCAGGAATATATAAGAAGGTAATACATCAAGACGAAGTTGGTTTTATCCCAGGAATGCAAGGCTGGTTCAGCAATGGAAAGTCATTCAGTGTGATCATCCACCACACTAACTAAAAAAGGAAATCCGTATGATTATCTCATTAGAGGCAGGAAAAAGTATTTGACAAAATTCAACGTCCATTTATGATAAAAACTTTTCAAACTAGGAACAGAGATAGAACTTCTTTAAGGTAATAAAGGGCATCTATAAATAACATACAGCTAACATCACATTAAATGCTGAAAGATAGAATGCTTTCCCCCTAAGATCTGTACCTTGGCAAGAATATCTGTTCTCACCACTCCTTTTCAACATTGTACCAGAAGTTCTAGCCAGTGCAATAAGGCAAGAAAATAAAATAAAAGGTATAACAGGAAGTTCAAAGAAAATAAGCCATTTCTATTCATGGATGATATAATTGGCTGGAGCTGAGGAATAGGGTGTTTTTCTAATGTAGCTCTGTGTGTGTGTGTGTGTATGTATGTGTTTGTGTGTGTGGGGTCACAAATGGGTAATGAAATTCATATTATTAAAAAACCTACAAATGTAAATAGGCACACATTGTAATTTTAACTCTCCCACTTTTTACTCTCTGCAAAATGAGTATATTATATACACTGTCCTACATCTTGCTGTGTTTCACTATATATTAATCATCCATAGCAGTATCTGTGAAGCTTTTTCATTCTTTTGTGAAGCTGCATAGCATTGCATTGTATATTTGTACCCTAATTTATTTAATAGCCGCCCCTTTCAAAAGCACACATGCACTCTCATTTGAAACAGTCCCTACATGGTGCACCTTATTCTCCTGTGTAACTTGCCTGGCAACCTCTGTGCACATTTGGCCTTAAGATCCCTGTTAGAACAGGCAGGGAAAGAGCACTGCATGAAGAGCCCTAGATTTTCCAGGCTTGGCTCTGGTAATAAGTCACTGGGTAACCTTGGACAAGTCATTTGTGGTGGGTCTGTCAAAGGCCCGGGGGAGCCGGTCTGTGCTGCCTGTATAGCTCAGTTGGAGTCATGGCCTGTAGATGGGACACAAGCACATACCAAT